AAAAAAGAAAAAAGGAAAGAAAGAAAGCAAGTCTTAAATAGAGCAGTCCAAAAGCCAGAAGGGAACCAGCAGCCTGGATGCTGTTAAAAAAATACTGTATTAAAATCTCAGGTAAAAATTTTGACACAATTTGAAAAGAAAACAATGTAATCCAAAAAGGCTATTTCACAGCTCAATAGGTACATTAGGGATGCTATCACAAGCAGTAAGTTAATGATTAAAAAATGGGAAGCTTACCCAAACTAGGAGAACAGGAAATCCCATAAAATAAGGCAAGTCAACCATACACCAGAAATTAAAAGGGCTAAAGAACAATGCRTGTTGAGCCTTGCAAAGACTGATAGTCTTTATATAGATAGCAAAGGCAGAAAGCCAACTAGTTTGAGGACAAATAYGCAAAAGGCATTTGGGGAAGACAAGAAAACAGCAGAAATGCTCAGTGGGTTTAATGTTCCAGTCTTTCCTGCTGTAGACATGAGAGAGCCCCAAACCCACATATTCTTGATAGCAATTCATCAGAGGAGTTAGTGCAACCTGAATTGAATTCATAGGAAACAACAGAGCAAACAGATAAGCTGGAGGTCAGTAAACCAGTAGGACCAGGCRCCATTTACAGAACAGTTCCCATGTGAAGCTGCAGAACTGGTGGCCCAAGCTGTGTAAATTGCCATTACATGTGGGCTCTGTGTCCTCCTACAACAGCAGAGCCAAAAGGCCACAAACACACAGGGAAATGTGATGCCAAGGAAAGCAATGAGCGTGATTTCTGTAAGGGACAACCTTGCAAACAGTCTGCTGGATGTCTGTAGGGGTGGTGATAAGAATGTAGAGATAYTGGACATACTATGTCTAGATTTTCAGGTAGCTTTTGACAGTTTCTCAACAAAGGCTATGAAGATACTAAGTCATCATGGACTGAAAGAAAGATCCTTTTGTGCTTTGAAAATGGAAAGGGAAGGTTAGGGCTCAACTGTGACTTTTTTAGAGTGGAAAAGCAGCAGCAACAGAGCCCCTAGAAGTCACTGTGGTATTACTCAGCGTCCTCACCAGCAGCCTGGAGTAAGGGTGTGTGTCTSGGATGCCCAGGCTTGCAGTCAATGCCAGGCTCATTTGTCTGGTGGGGTGCTGACCTGCAGGTGAGCAGGACTTAACAAAGCCAAGGGAGGGGGCAGAAGGGTGACACATGAGCTTCAGTACTCACCAAGGTGATGTCTTGGGTAGAATAATCTGTGGAGTAATCTGAATCATATTTAATGGTTTTGAACTCAAAACTGGCAGCCACCACTCAAGAAAATGCTCTTGGAATCACCATGGACTATTCCCTTAGAAGCTCAGCTCAGTGTGCTGTGGCAGTCAGAAAGCCAGGAAAATGGTGAATATCCTCAGGGAGGCTCTTCCAGCTTGGTGCAACCACACCAAGTGTGTGTTGTTTTGGTCTCTGCAATCACAAGGATACAGCAGGTTAGAGAAGGGCAACAAAACTGGACAAAGGGATCACCTTCCTCAAGAGGAAAGCCTGGACAGCCAGGATTGCTCACATTGGAGAGGAGATGGGTGTGATCACTACTTTTTAATGAACTTATCTTCCAAAGAATAGACATGGATGCAAAATCTGGTTGCCTGGAAGCGAGGGAATAACTTGCATTTGTTTCCAGGAAACCAAAGTCTTTGTTGATGGTGTTGATAGTAGACAAGCAACTTGTCACAAGGACCAGGATTGTTCCTCTGATCTCCTCCTACCCCCTGCCCAGGAGGTTCTGCAGATGGCTGGATAAYGTCCTGTGTTCCAGAGGAAGTAAAATTTTTGCTCTGTCATTTTTGAGCCAATGGCTGATCCAATCCGTGGGTGAGAAGAAGCAGAGGTCCTGGGATCAGCAACGGGGCTGAGGTATTTCCACATGAGCCACACATTTGCTCCATTCTTCTGGCCAGCTTGTTTTGAGTGTCTTTTTCCATTATGGGGTTTGCAGTTGTGTCCCAAAGGAAAAGAAATTATATGCTTGCCCCTTATGCTCTTTATAGTATATTAAAGAGGGGAGGTGGGGGGGAGGAGGAACTCTTTGTTTTGAGTTTCCTTCCAAACAGGATTTTTTGGTTGTCTTTGGATTTTTTTTTTTGCCTCATTTTGTTTCACTGGGTAATGTCATCATTCATCTTTCCTGTTTTTGCTGTAGAACTTCTTCGATGGTTCACAGATGTGCACTGGAAATTAAAAGATAGCATACTGAATCCTGAACACAAATAATTTGTAACTTGAGCTGTTATTGCTCACAAAAGAAGACAGAAAAGAGATTCCACTTGATCTTGCTGCTTTGGTTTCTCTTTTCCCTGGAATTTTAGAAAACTGCCTCCCTAGACTTGCACAAGAACCAAAATAGTTTTTTTACAATAACATCACAGCTCAGTTGGCACCCTTCCCCAAAACAAGTCTCTCCTCATCCCATAGTTCCTTCAGGCCTTTGCTAAACGTAGTGAAATTTTCTAATCAACAAGGCTGTCTTTTTTTCTTTTCCTTCGTCTCTTCCCACTTAGAGCAGTTTGTTGTCCTGTTCAAGTATCTATTTATATTGTTTACTGCAAAAAGCCAGGCTGATCTGTAAACACATTTCTCTGGTTCTCCCTATTTGCTGTTTTTTTTGAGATCCTCTTTATATCTATTTACGCACTTAAACATGTACTTGAGCTCATAGATGTGACCCCCTCTCAGCTTTCCAGGTCTAAACAGAGAAGTTTCTGACTCATCTGCTCCACATGCTGAACGTCTTTGGAGATGGACCCTGCCTGACTTTACATCTTTCTGTTTCAGACGGGATATCCTCTTAGAGGAAAGACATGACTGTTGAGGCCAGTGACAGCCCTATACCATCTGGCCCTGTAAAATACTATTCCCAGCTATTTCTAGTGTGTGTAACGTCACATTTTCCTCATAATATGTATTAAAAAATATTTGGTTGGAATGTGAACAATTCACTGGAGATGGTGGCAAACATCCCCATGCCTGCTRTCCCAACGAGTGTGTTCCTGTAGAGAAGCTGCATGACAATTCAGCAGAGAAAGGTGGCTGAGCATCAAGCATACCAGGCATCTCTGCAAATTGTATCATGTTGTTTTCATTAGTTTCCGATCTCAGTAAGCTGGGATTGACTAAATGCTCTGAGGGAGTTCAAAATGAGAACAGCTGAATCACAGCAGACTCACTGGAGTGATCGAAGGCAGCAGCAAGCAGAAATCTGCATGAGTCATCCTGAAGAAGAGGCCAGAGAAAAGGGTGGGTGTGCTTTGTACTAAAGTACATAGCTCTTCTGGGAACATGAACTTCTCAGGAGCTTCTGCTTTCCTATCCTGGGGTGAGTCCAAAGGGAATCTACTATTTTCTATGAATTGCTCTAGACAAGGATGGGTTCTGCTGCAAACAAGAGGTACAGCTCCAGTTATTACACCCATTCTGTCCTTCAATCCAGCTGGTTTTCACCTGCTGCAGATCTGTGTAAGTGGGACGGCATCACYACAGAGCAAAGGCCCAGGCTGAGCAGGGACAAAACCCAGAGACATTACAGAACCATTGCCTCAGCTTCTTCCACTGGGATATTCCAAAAGTGGAAAGAAAAGGTTCTACTCATTTTGGGCAGAGGCTGGGAGCACAGTGCCTCCCAGAACAGAGCCATTCCTTGCCCTCACATTGTCACTATGCATGGCCTTCCTTCCCCAACCTGTCTGACCAGCTGTGGTGTTCACAATCCTACACCTCTCAGAGCTGCCAGCGCTGGCAGGAAAGGGGACCAGTGACAGATGGTTGATGTGATCGGTAGATGCATGGATTTGTTTCTACTTTTTCTTTGTGTGGACTGGGGGATTGGCAAGGCCACAGGGGGTGTTGGTCTGAATCCCACACACAGTGTCTCAGCACCCTCATTTTTTGACAGTAGCYTCACAGTCTTTGTAAAATTGTGTTGTGTACTTCACAGTAAATATCTGCCTGGTAAATACAGCCACCACCAAGCCTTTGCTTGAAATCCCTGAAAGAAACTAGTTGTCCTGTCCTCTGCATATCCCATGGCTGTTTCTAGAAAGGTATGTGGTACCCACTATTCTCAAACCAAGTAATAGCTCCTGCTGCTTATCTCTGGTGGAGACAACTGTCCCTTCAGCATGTTGGTGACACTGCTCCCAGATGTCCTTCTGTTGGAATCAGCTGGGTGAAATGACKCAGTTTAAATAGTCTGATAATTTGRATGCTTCTRGCCCAGARGATTKGGGATGGCCCAAATGAATACCTGTCCTGGCAGTCTGCCAGTGCACAGGGCTGAGCCCCTGAGTGCTCACTCACACACTTCCTGCTGCTGAGCACCAGGCAGCATGTTTGAGGGACTCCTTCAGTGACTCCAAAGGCTTTCTCTGACCAGGCTCCTGCCGAATTTTCTACACAGGGCACTGCTCTCTACACTGTGTCATGGTTCCACAGCATAGTCCTAGCAAGGATCTCAAAGGTCTGTATAGATGGAAATTAGTGCCATCTCAACAGTGACATTCCCAGCCCCAGCCCAGAGCCACAGTACCCCAGCTGCTCCCATAGCTCACCTCCCCTCTGCCTGGCTTCATATTCCCACGTTTATTGCCTTTGCTGTTCTGTGTGCCAGAGGAAGAGTGCCAGCATGACCATAAACTGTGTTCTCTTGTGGTGAGACACCTCCATGTTCAAAGGAACTAAGCTMAGTGATAATGTTTACGAGAAATATTCTAATTCCAGTATGTGAAACCATTCTCTTGACAATGTTTTTCTGTGGYTAAGCATTAAAATGTTTATTCAGGCTGGACCGAGGTCTATTTCGAGTCAAAACCTCACAGACAGACATTCCTGCATCGTGCAACAGCATTCCCTCAAGATGACTGTGACACGGCAAAGCTGCCTATTGCTGTCTGGGCAATAAAAAGATTCTCTCCAGAATCATTCCCTTGTTTCTGAAAAGTGCTGCACAGTCACAGTAAGTGATGGCTCACTAGCTAAAAAGAATTGCTGCTCTGAGTGAGAATGAGTGCCCAGCACTTTCAGGAAACTATCAGATRGGCATTCCCCTTTTTARTGCTCTCTGATGTCTGAAAAAAAATACATATGACAAAATATGTGCACCAACTGCCTTCAGCTAARCATTGGATTTACCTGCATATTCCCACCAATCTTTAACTGCAGATAATTATCTTATGATATTTCTAGTTTTACAGTTTCTTAATGTGAAAAATCTAGTGTCTAATGAYATATGAGCTGGGATTTTTCAGGTTTGGTTTGTTGTTCCTTTCTTTTTTAACCACATTATTAGATTTCTCCCAGAAGGTTTCTCCTTGTGATCTTATGGTATGGATAATTTTCAAGATATTGTTGCACGTATCTTCCTAGATGAGTCTGAGCAATGTAATCCAGTGAACAAACAGAAGTGTAATTACATATTCCTGCACCTTCTATATATGTAAGCATTTGATATGTGTGTAAAAATACAAGGCTTGCATTGATTGATGTGGTTCTCTGCAGAGAGGCACTGTGGCAACAAATGTGTGCATATACACCTGTGTATCTCATGCCTTCCTTTTCCAGAGTGTGGTATTAATAACTTGGAAAACTGAAAGTAAGAAGAAATTACCACACTTCCTTAAAAATGCTGGGATTTTAAAACATCAATATATAGTGAATTCTCTGTCTTTCAGTCCTCAATCTTCAGGTTCTGCTCTAGGAGATACTTTCAAGCTTWAAAAAAAAGCATTGTTGAGATTCCTACATAATCAAAACAGGGCTTGAAAAGATACCATTTGTCATGAGCCACACACTGAAGCTGTGAGAGCTGGCAGCAGTGACAGTATTACAATTAAGAATAACATTTTTTCCAGATAGGATAAACACCATTTGTCACTTCATAAGCTTTTGGATGTGAAAATGGAATTATGACCGTTTCTTTTTTTCATCCAGATGTAGATGGCGTTGCTTCATCTTCTGACAATGTATTAGTAGACATCATTAAATGAAATTTAAAGCCTCCTTTCTTTCAGGTCCCCTCCTCTTCCCCAATTTTGACACTGTTGTCTTGATCAGTGATATAGAAGCCATCCAAGTGCTTCGTTACTGATTGGCTGCATCACCTCATACTCAAAATGTGCTATACCAGAAAAGAAAGATCTAAAAATGATGACAAAGAAGTGTATGGGAATATGTGAAGTTGCTAATATGCATACTGGAAAAATCTGTTAATATTGATAATAGCAGTACATTTCTAGGGTTGGTATGACAGAGGTAAATTTGTAGCTAAATTGGATGCCTGGATATCTTTTTGTTATGACAGTTGTACCSTGTACAGAAATGTCAATAAAGCTGTTAGCTATCCATTCCATATGTCAGCAAACAGGAGGGGGATGTGTGTGACCACATCCAGGGGTGCAGCTGGGAATGCTTACTGCAGCAGACAAAGCTAGAAAGGATCCTGGCTGGGATTTCCTGATATTCCCAATGTAATGTTCTGGTRCACATCATCCAGGGAATCTGTATGAGTGCTGGATGCATAACAATTTTGGACACCTCTGAAAATCCTTCAGCCAAAAGAAGCATGCCCCTAAGTGAGGCACAACTGCAGGGTGCTGGATGGACCATTGTTTTTCTCAACAAAGTTAAAAAGGTATTTTTAATGACCACAGATAAATAGTATCCAGGTAATATCTCTTGCTGCTAAAATGGCATAATAAGGTGTCCCCTTAAGGGGCACAGAGGAAAATCAGCCAAATAAAAAATGGCCAGCAGCACATCTTGTGGTTCTTATGTATTTCATTCTGAAATCTCCCTCCTGCTSTCATATGCCCAGCTCTGAGGCACAGTGGTGTCTCCCTGGGGGATTTTGCCTCCTTGAGTGACAATCAAAGCTCTGCTTGCTGGTGTGCTCTGCTCCTGCCTGGGCTTTGGACACTGACAAGTCAGTCTTTCCTTTTTAATGCTCTCTGATGTCTGATAAAAATACAGATGACAAAATATGTGCWCCAACTGYCTTCAGCTGAGCAYTGGATTTACCTGCATATTCCCACCAATCTTTCTTTCATTGGTCTGGATTTTGGGCTTTTTTCCCTCAGACAGTGCCCTCCAAAGTGTTGAGAGGCAGCCTAGATGCAGAAGGTCAAGCTAGAAGCCTCTCCCCCTTGCAAAGCCAAAGAAAATGTAGATTCTTTGCAGACCCATTGCAAGAGATGCACAGGTCCCCTCTGCCCACCCCTGTCCTCACCTTGGCAAGCAATGGTGCCCGTGCTTGGAGGAGAGAAGCGTGGCTGGGCTGTTTCCTCTTCCCTCCATGGGGGGGAATGTCCTTCTTGGTCCTGACTTTGTGTCTGTGTTAGTCTGCACTCAAATGCCCCATCGAAGAGAGCACAACCATGAGCAYCAACGGCTCACCAAAAAGGAATGTTAACTTAGAGGAGGACACTGTATTTAGTTACAGCTCTTGAGAGACACCCTACAGCTACCACTCGGAACAAAGCAGTGACTTAGTGAGGGACAAAAGTCATCTGCCACATACAAGAATATGAGACGAAACTTGTTAGAAACTTCAAAGTGACATAAACCCAAAAAACTAAAGTAGGTGCTGAACAGCCTCAGCTTGATTCTGTGTGCTGCAATAGTCTTTCCCCACATCATTTCACGTGATGCTTTCACCAAGGCCAGGCACACTGTGATGGGCCAGGAGTGACACAAGTGCTGTGCACAAGAGTCACCCCATTGTTCAAGGTCTGGTTTCCTGCCCCACAGGCAGCCCCAACCTTGCCCTCTGCTCTCACATGAGAAGCGGTGCACCAAGGCAAAGCCCTTGCTTTGTCCCCCATACAGCATCCCARTTCTGGGGAGAATGAGGACCAGCCAGAAGGGTGGGCCTTTCACTCTCCTCTGCCCCTAAAATGCCYTATTTATAATCTTAAACAGCCTGGACACTTGGCATCTCCACTGTCTTTGATCCTCTGATATCTACTCTGTCTGCCTGCAGTTTCCAGCCTGGGAAGGATGGAAATTTCATGATAGTCCCCCTCCATTTAAGCATGTGCCTGACATGGGGTTGAGTCATCCCTGGTGAGATGATTTGCAAAGCAAATCCTTCCCCACCTGAGCTGGCTGTGCTCTGGGTGCTGCTTGCCACACTGCCTGTCCTCCCGGGGCTGCGAAAAGAACACTTGCAGCTGTCAGCTGGTTCACAGTGCACAAGCTCAGAAACATCAGAAAAAGTGTTTGACCTTTGTGTGTCAAGTGCTAGAAATGGATCAGCATGAGGCAGCGAGAACACAGGTGCCTTTTGAGCAGGAGAAAAAAGGAACTTGGCAAGCCTTTTGATGTGTCTCAGTGAGAAAGCAGCAACATCAACAAAGACAGGAAAAGGTTTAGAAAAGCATACTTGTAATAGCTGAACACAAAACTGTCCAAAAGTGACAATTTTGATAGCTTCAGAGACAATTTGCCTTGTGTTGTGCCTGATTTGCTGTCATTTCACATATTATGAAAACTTGAAAACAAGACACAGTCAAAATGCTCTGGAGAGGTAATTGCTGCTTCATTTCCCAGGCTAACATCCTGCCTCAGGTGAAATTTCTCCATTCTGCAGTCAAAGGTGGGAGGTGTCCATAGGCCTCAAGATGGGGATGATTTAGGCTGTATTACTTAGAGCTACTCTAAGTGAGAGGAGAGACAAGGAGATGAAAATAATCCTCCCCTTTTTTCCTTTCTGCTTGCCCTCCTATCATGAAAAATCTCCCCCTCCCATGGGCTTTTTGCTGTGACCCTGGTCCAAGGAGCTCAGCTGTTTAACCAACAAAGTCAAGCAAAGSAGAAACTGAAACAAGGACTGTGACTGATTAAGATGTTATCTTGTGAGCACATTCAGATGAAAGTTCCTGGGAAGAGAATACAAAAATCCTAACTAGCTGTAAAGTGGTTCTTTTCACCAACCTTAAAGCAGGGTACCACATAATAACTCACAGCTTTGCACATTTGATCCCCATCTAGCATCAGCCCATGCATTATTTACACCCTCATCACTGGCAGTGGAGTTGGACAGAAATGATGGGAATATCGGTTACACCTGATGGGAGACGAGTATTTTGCACAGCTCAGACTTGTTGCTGAGCATGGCCAGAAAGGCAGGGATGGAGGAGGTAGGAAAGCAACTGAGCTCAGAGAAAAGGGAACTCTCCAGGGAAGAGSAAGTTTTGGAGTGTGGGATGGGAGAAAGAAAGAAAACTTTCTCACTTTGCCTCTCTCCAGAGCTGCAGCAAAGAGCAGCTGAAGTGAGTGAATTAGCAATGCATGAAGCAGCAGCACACTCTCAGAGTGAGCTGAAATCCTTGTTGGTGCTGTCCTTTGACTGACACTTCATGGCCTGTAATAGGTAAAGGGTCAGGCAGGTTTCTTGGCCACWGACCCAGGCAGGGAGCTGCTTCCTGGCTCAGAGGTGTCTAATAAGGCACAAAAGGCCTCGGCACTCCCCTGAAAGTGGTGTTGAGGCACACCACACCCTGTGGTCATTGGGCAGAATTCTGCCATCAGGAATCTCAGGCCTGCTGTCCTGTAGCCTGGTTATGGAGGTGACTGGTGACAGCTTTTGTATGGATGACTGCCCATGGGGAAATGGATGGACACCACCAATTACACTTCTGCAGAGCACTCAATAGCTGAAAACTTTGCCTTCTTTCCAGTGAGGTCAAGAACAAAAACATGAAAAGCTGTGTTTTCTRTATCTGAAAATCATTTTGGCTCCTTTGTGCTGTCTCATAGGCACCCTGGAACAGATTACTTGTGCTATCTTTACATGAATGCTCCAAACTCCTTGCTGGACAGAAGGGACCYTCCAGACAGGCTGCCAGGCAGAATGGTTATTGTTATTAACAGAAGTATATTCCAGAACCACATCCAGCTGCGGGCAGAAGCAGGCAGGAAGCCAGCTCACAACCTGCCATTTGCCATCTGCTCTACAAACTGGAATCCAGCCCCAATCCAACCCAAGCCAACCCTATCCAGCCCTGCAGTCAGTAACATGACTACACCCAGGTCAGCTGAAGCCAAACTCTCCGTTTCAACAAGCAGACCTCCAAGTATGACTTCTCTGATGCACACAGTAGCACCATTCTGGATCATCCCATAAGATAAAACAAGCCTTTTTCTGCCCAGAACTCCAAGTCAGAGCAAAATTTTCACTATTGGTCCATGTGGGTCATGAAACTGTAGCATCAGATTGCAAAATCTGTGTGTGCTGGTCTGGCTGCASAGGAGGAACGTGAGGAAGAAGTCAGCAGCGCGAGGCTCACATCAGGTCAAGTTCCTGTATACATGGAGGATTTAAATTCACGCATGTTTCCAGCTGCAGCCACCCAAGGCTGCCAAGGCTCAATGACAAGCAAAACCTCTGTGGATGAAGGTCACAGGAAGAAAAAAAGGTCCAGAGCTGTAGGAAAGGGCATGGCCCATTTGGAGGACCTCCGAGCAGTGGCCTCCAGGGGACGCATAGCTGCCAGTGTGCATAATTGCCAAGAGGTTTAAAGGGAAAACCCACAGCACAGCAGGACTCCTAATGCTGTCCAGATCAAAGCAGCTTTGTGGTTTAGAAAATGTGTCATCAGAAGGACAGAAAACATGTAATGGCAACCTCTTCCAGGACAGCCTAGCAGTAGCTACTTGGTACAAATACTTTGTGTGAGGTTTGTATAGCCCTCACAGACACCCTGGAAAACTGTCAGTGAGCTTGAGAAAAGAGGGTACAGTATGCCCCAGACCAAAGGCAAGCTCATGTGCATGGCCTAGGTTTGTAGGCTACACCACACTGCAGCCTGTTAAGCCTGCTTAACTCATCCAGGGCACTTGGACATTCTTGACTGGTCTTGCATCTTCTCAAGTGTTCCATGGTGATTTCGGAAAACGTGAGGAGACATAGACTCAGCTTTCCAGAAGTTTCCCTTGCAAGGCAGCCTTGCACAGGACAGCTCTAGAAAAACTCCTTATATTCCATCCCTCCCTCCCTTCTCAGGGTTTTCTGTGCAGGGGTGAGGTACAGATGCACCTCAGCATTTGCTGTTTGGRGCCAATCCCACAACTGAGGCCTTTTGCCTGCTTTGCCCTTACTGCACGGTAAAGGAAAGTCACTCCATGTGACTGATGTAAGCAGTAGGACAAGCCTGGTGTGAGGAAATACRTTCGTTAGCAAATACCATCCATGCAGTTATCCACAGATGCCTAACGAGACCCAGGAAGGCAGCCACAGGCCAGGCAGCTCAGCCTTGGTCTGTAATTGCTTCTTGTGCAACAAGCTGCAATCATGTGAGAGCTGCAGACATTGAGACTATTGCTCCACCAGGAACATGAGCAGGAGCAGAGGCCTCCGTGACACAATTTTCGTTCAAATCATCTCAGGAACCTTCTGTGCTATGATAATCACAATTCATGGGCTCAATCCTGAAGGCCTTGCTCAGTATTTTTTCTGGAATTGAAAAGCGGTTGCAGAGGCTGTGCAGAAACTTTACCTGGCTTAACATTTTGAGAACAGAAGCCCTGAGCTTTCCCTCAGCAGATATCTAGAACTACAAAAGCCTGCCTTGCTTCACAAAGCACAGAAAGGGATTCTCTGCCCTGAGGAATCCAGTCTAGGAGATGTTAATATGAGGATGGGCAGTTTCTTAGTCTTGTAGTGGATTAATCTCCATTAACCTTTCAGTCTTTCAGATTTTGCCATTTTTCAAACGAACAAATAAATAATTCCAGTGTTGTTGTGAATGCCCTTGGAAACCTAAGGTAGAAGACCTCTCTTGCATGTTTTCTAGGGAGACTTGACAASAGCAGTGGCTGGGCAGCTTCAGAGGAATTCTTGCATGTTCATAACGTTATGGCAGGCACTGGTTCAGGGTACATTTCTCAGCTCTACCATGAAAATGGAGAGAGAGCTGGGACAGACATCTGATTCCCAACAGGTGATTAATTCAGCACAGTAGCACTGGTAGCGCCTGCTGAACCCAGTGAAGGCAAGTGGTCCTGTGGCACTGGGTACAGACACTCAGCCTGTAGCAGGCTGGGGCATGGCTTCTTACAGAACACTGCAAGAGGTCACAAAGAAAGATGCCTCTCGTCTTCTGTATTTATTGTTAGGGCTGAGATTCTCTCAAGGATTCCCTGCCCTCCCATCTCTGGCAGACCGGGGTTGAATGAGAACACAAATCTCACTGATAAGGTTGTAAAATACGCCGATTGAATGTCAGATATGATTAAAAAGGAAGATAATAGTGGGGAGGAGACTTCTGAATCAGTTGTAGAAATGAACAATATGTTAAAGGAAGCAGCAGAGCCCAAG